CCTGCTGAAGTCAAATACCTGCTGAGATCAATCTGTGCACGGGCTGGCGTTCAGCCTGGAAAACGTCACTTTAACTTATGAGATTCTCTGCAAGCTCGAAGCAGAATTCCCACACAAGCCCAAAATAAAGGAACTTGCACCTTTTTCCTTCTCAGGTTCGTCCCGCCTCTCCGAGCCTGGCTGCAGGTCCCCACCACGCAGCACTGACCTGCCTCTAGTCTGGAGGTTTTTCCCTAGCATCCGTCTGCTGCAAGGAGGGACCTGCTGGGAAGAAAGCAGAGGACAGGAAGGCCATTGCCCCTGGCTCTTATCAGAGCTGTCTGCTGGTTCCACCCACTTTGCACTAATTTGGAACCAGCATCTGCACCTTTCAGGATTTGCAGGAGTGAGAAATAACGTGGGATGTGCCTGGATGCAGTTCTTGGGGCTGGCTAAGGAAACAATGGGAGTCGAGTGGGAATAGGCAGGAAGGGCTGGTTGCCAAGCTGCTCTCTGCAAATATTCCTGCTTCTCTTCCAGCCCTCCTCGGTTTGGTTCTTGACCCTTAGCCCTTGCAGGACGCTCCTGCCTGCTAAACAGACCACACAACTGGGTATCCAGGCCAGGCTAATGCTAGTGTATTCCCAAGTCTTCCTGAGACTTCCAGTTCCTCAGTTTCTCCCTCCTCTGAGCCGGGAGCAGAGCTTAACTGATGAAGGCAGAGCGCTCTCACAGACGGTCATTGGGGAAGGCCACATTTAAGGAGCTGGCCAGCTACACTGCCTGTGTTTTCGTGCCCTAAAGCAGATGGGGTGGGCATGAGCTGACCTTTGGAAGTGCCCTCCTGTCCCGTCTTCCATGAATGCATCAATTCTCCTGGGCAGGACTGGCCGTGAGCCCGAGCAGCTTGAAGATGTAATTGCTCTGCCCGTTTGCTAATGAGAAAGGCAAGAACAGCGCTCAGGACAATGCGCCTGTTTCGGTGCATTGGTAGCCAAGAGCTCTCTAATTGCTTCCTTGCTGCCTTATTTCTCTCCTGGCTTTTGCTGAGGGCTCAGCGTGGCCATCAGGAGAAGCTCTCCTGCCCCTGGCCTCCCCCCCGAGCCACCTGCCCCTTTCCCCCCCTTTCCAGGTTTTCCCTGGAAAGGCAGTGCCGTGCTACAAGCCCCAAGCAGCTGTGTGTGGGGATTGACCTCGGTGGGCAATAGTAAAACACAATAAATGATGTGGAGGACTTAATCCTCCGGGTATTAGTATGGAACACAACACAGAAGCTGTGTGCCCTATTCCCTGGTGCATATCCAAGAAAAAGACTTTGGGTTCAGTCTAGTATTTCTTCCTTGGGAAGGGGAAAGTGATTCAGGAACCCAAGGGCTGTAATAACAGCCAGCCTCTCCAATGCACAGTTTTCCTATTCTTGTTTCCTTGCCATTCCTACTCCTTTACGGCTCATCCCAGACTTTCAGGGGCAAATCCTAACTCCTTGCACCTTTTCTCATTGCAAATTGCGTTATGCAAGGAGATACAACCAGACAACAGCATTTAAATGCTGCTTCTGTGGTGCTGCCTCTTAGCCTCTCTGGCCACGTCTGTTTTGAGGGCTGAAAAGCTGCCTAAAGATAATGGGATAGGTGCACTATGCCCTTCAACCAGGAGCTTTCTCCCCGTGTTGCCAGCTCAGCCAGGAGCTGAGGCTCACGCTGAGGCACTGAGTGAGCTCGAGCTGTCCCTGTCCAGACAGCTCTGGAACGTGGCTCACGGGGCCTCTTCGCACGGGCCCAAGGACTTGCAGAACTCTCAGATCTGGAGAACAGGCTGTCTCCAGCTCCTGTGACGGCGCAGATTGCGCAGGGCCTTAACACCTCGACTCTAAACACACGCACTGCCATGAGCCAAGCTGCAACCAAAGACTGTGAGATCCGGCGCGCCAGAAGCCCGTGACAGATGGGTACTTGAGGGAACGTGTCTGCAGCTGCCTCGCAGCCCCGCGAAGCAAAACTTTGGAAAGCCAGCAGCAAGCGCTGCGCGATCCCCACCAGCAAAACCTACGCATCCCTCGCGGCCTGGGCGAGAGGAAGAACGTTTGTCTGCACAAGGAGCCTGTTCTGCAGAGACTTGTGTCTAAGGGGGCTCTGCTTCTCCTCGCATCTCTCTAGCGAGCTGTGTCGCTGCTGAGCATGGCTGCATAGGCTGTCTGCATACACATGGCTTTGCTGCCTGATTAGGGGGTAGAACAGTAAATCCTCCTGTTCGGAAAGGAAAAAAAGAAAGACAAGCCAGGGAAAAGGCTGTGTGCATGGCCTGGATGCTAATGGACCTTCTCTGCAGCAAATGCAGACAGGTCTGTAAGGTGCCGGGGTGTTCTCGTGTGAGATAGGTACCATCACCTCTCTACCTATGAGAAAAGCCAAAGTCAGTGCCACGTGAAGCACCATTTGCTGCTCCTTAGCACTGCATCTGCCTTCCCTTGGCTAATTGTGCTCCATGTCCCCCCCAGAAAGGGGCAGCTCTGTTTGCAGGTGCCCCTCAGAGATCTGGCACCCTTTTAGGTGAGCAGTACAAGCCGTGCATCTCAAGCCACGCTGCTTTATGACAGCTGGTAAAAATAAAGCACAAGCAGCTCTTACAAACAGCACAGAGGATTTATGACTAAGTGGGGTGCTTTCCAGGGTGGGCTGGCCACGGTCTGACGATGGCCTTTTTATAACTTGTTATCAGCTCCCACACAGACCAGGTCCATCTGTTACTTAATTTGACCCGAAACACTCCTCAGCTTTTGTTCCCTAATCTCTGGCTGCACATCTACATTGTTGTGCAGCAGCGCAGCCCACTCGCGAGCCGGGGAGGCGCCGGGAAAGCCGGGATACGAGGGAGGAATGCTGCTCTGCCTGACACTTGGACGCCCATCCGCCCCCCTGCTGCCTTGAAGCAGCTCGGAGGGGCTTTTAACCTGCCACTTGGGTGCCAGGGCAAATATATAGCCAGGTCCGCCCGGGCTGGCACTCTTTAGAAAGCCAGGCCTTGCATCTCACATGTCCACGGAACTGCCTTAAGCTACTGCAGGAACTGCCACCAAAGGCCCCAGAGCTCAGACGTGTTGACACGCAGAGCAGTGAGCTAACACCATCCAGCACCAGCAGTGCTCCTGCTGCACAAAGTAGCCGTCCAGAAAGCAAAGATGCTTAATAAGGCATGTGCTTCACAGCAGCATTCCCACGTGGCTTAGATGCATTTTGAATTTCAAATCAAGCAGCAGGGTAATGATGACGGGCACCTCAAGCAAGGCATATTTTTGCTGCATTAGTGGGTTGTTTAAATACAGCTATGTGGTTTTGCACGGCTTGCACCAAGCTATGCATTACTTAAAATTACTGTACCAGAGAACTGTGATATCAGCAAAGCAGCACTGAAGTCTTTCCCATGCTCCAGCATAGGGTACTGGCAGCAACTGATTTGAATTTGTTGCCGGCCGTCTTTTTTTACCTCACATATAATACTTGAGGAATATTTTACCTCCTCTTATGCCTGCCTAGAATTTTTACACAGATCAAAGACTAGGATGAAAGGAGATGGAAGGTCAGGCTTTATGTTAAGCCCAGTAAAAAGGGGGATAGAAGCTTTAGCACAGTTTAGCTGCTTGGGAAAGCTGCTATTTTCTTCTGTACTTTCTGTGCATCATTTAAAGTGATTCAGATAACATGAGTCACAGTAAAATGCATAGGCTGGATCTGACTAGAGCAAGTGCCCTAAGAATATGCTATAGACTTTGCTGCCTTGTGCCACATTCCGTATGGGAGAACTGATGGCATTTGGGATTCAGCTGTATGTGTGGCCCAGTCTATGGTACACAGGGACCTGGTGGGTACGAAGGTGAGGCTGCTCTGGGAAGGAGGGCACGTCTATGCAAGGCTAGTCCACAGGCCCAAGGTGCTGAGGCCTTTGAAGTGAGATTTACATAACCCAAAACCTTCGCCGTGTCTTTGCACTGAGCCGAAGGAGGCCTGAAGGAACACTTGGGAATACGTTTTTCTAAAGGATGACACTTACCCACTAATGATGGTTTAACACACACAACACAGTGCAGCCACCCAAGAGCTAGTGCCTGCCAGCGGCAGCGAAATCCAGCTCAGCACAGATTGTCCTGCTGCTGGAACCCGAGACTGGAAACAGCTGGGAACTGTTGGCTTGGAGCAGATTTCCCCAGCCTCCCGGAGCCCGATGAAGGAATCTCCCAAAGAAGTGTTAAGAGGAGGGGGATAAGACATTCTCCCCTCCGCTGCTTTACCATCTTTGTTGATACTTAGGATTTTTGTCTCCCCACATAGCTGTAGTTTTCCTGTTATAAATAACCTGCAATTTGCAGTGTTTTTGTGCTACACAGAGCAAAACAAGTCTAGTTTAGCCCACAGTCAGTACACACAATAATGCAAGACTCTCTCTCAGTCTCCAAAGTCTCAGCTTCCATCTAAAATCTGTTGACACTGCACTTTGGGGCTGAGGATGGACCTAAATCTCTTGCATTTAATGGGTGGGAAAGATCCTGCTGTGAATAATCCCTAAGAAACAAGATGGGGGCCAGAGTTTGATGGAGTCCCACATTCCCAAGTGTGTCCCCAAATTCTAGGGTGGTTGCCTACTTCAGATGAACACATCTTTGGGATATCACTGTCTCCTTCTTCCACTGAACTGAAATAGTAGCTGTAGATGTGTTTTAGTCTGTCAGCACATTAGCTACTTGGTTGGACACTTTTTCTGAGAAAGGATCTGTTATAAACAAGAACATAGAATAAAAAACTAACTGCAGTTATCAAATTTCTTTTAAGAAACAAAGCAATCTCGACAGGGTACCTCTCCCACCCTGTTTTTCTCTAGCACTTGAAAAAAGACAGACTTAAAACATACGTTGGTACAGACCAGATAAACGCTGTGCAAGCTGTCTTCTGCAGCACAGCAAGTCTCCATCGTCATCTGCTGCTTCAGCTCACAGGGAAAGCAATCATCTCAAGAAGTGGTTAGTGATGCAGCTCTTCAGTGAAGGAGGTGCTGGCTCACAAGACGAGGAGGGCCTTTTTCTTTCTTCCTTTTAAAACCTGGGTCAAAGACCTCGTCAGAGCCACCTGTCCCCATCAAGAGGCAAATCAGGGTCTCCACACTGAAGAGGAGCGCTCAGCTTGAGTCATCAAGGAAAAAGCGCTGTCAGTTCCAGAGGCAGGAATCTCACTGCAGTGAGAAGCCACCAAATGACTTCTTTGCGTGCCAGGCCCTGGAGCACTGTTGAAACGTGTCAGCACGTTTCAGAAGGGTTTTCCTCAGCTCGGTCCTTGTCTTCTTTTGACTAGCGACTTCTAATGCTCTGAGGCTTTGCTGGGATTAGGGAGATCTGTTTAGGCTCAGCAGGGAGGATCACAGCCCCGGGTTCGCCATGTGCTAGTTCTGATGGAAATGAACTCTGCTTCATAGCAGATTTTGTCACCATCCAAGCTTGGAGCACCCTCTTTGACATGCTCTGACTATGGGAGATGCTCACTCCAGCTGGGACTGTTTTCTCCCAGGTGAAAGCCATGAAACCCAGGTCTTTCATGATTTACTCACCCCACATTTTACATTTCTACACTATGCCTAAGAATATTTAAACATAATTGGTGAATGTTAGAGACTGGCACATTTTATCTACTTGGAACTGGCTGGAATGCTCGAGACTGCTCTGCTTCTTGTCTTTTCCTGATCATCAAATGCATTTGGAAAATAATATGTTCAGTCCTGGAATATCAGGATGAGAATTCGTCACGATTTAAGCAAGCATAAGGCACAAGGAAATGTCTTGTGCTGGCACTGTTTTCCCGTCGTTATAATTGCTCCATTTAATTGCCATTTCTAACAATTGCGTTTTCCTGTATTTCCACCACATCTCCTAAATAAACTTAGGCCTGCTGGCCTGGCACTTGAAGTCACGAATAGCTTTTATCTAGGGAAGTTAGTTGTTGTAGCTGGCCGAGAAGATTTCTCAGCAGGCAGCATGCTTCTAGCTGGGTGACTTATGAGCTGTGCTATTTCTTATTACCTTCTGTTTGTTTTTCCAGGCTGCAGACTCTTGGCTGTGGAGCTGACATCCAGCAACACCAAGCCCGTGGTGCAGGAATTCCAGAGTGAGTGCCGCAGGGCCGCTGGCTCCGGAGCACAATCGCCGCGCTGTCCCTGTGCCGGGAGATTTGCATCAGTTTAAGCAATTGAGAAGAATTCTGCTTGTTGCTTGTGGTATCTGGTTTCTTGGGTGAGGCAGCAGAACGGAGCGTTTGAGATTCAGAAAAACGCTTAAGAATATGCCTTTGTCTCTCCCTGTTTAGCAACGGGGTTGATTGATAGGGTTTATTGGAGTCCCATGAAAGGCACTGGCACAGCAAGGTGTCTGCCTAAGTGCTTTTTTGAACGGGATCCCAAATGGAGCAAAGGCAGCCACAGCACAATTAATACAGCGGAGAGAGGCTCAGGAAATGTATATTTTATCGTGGCCCTCTTTCAGGCCTGCAATGTGATACGGGGCAAGGCGCCTGTCAGCGCTCCCCTTGTGCAGAGCGGAGATGACGGTGCCCTGCCTCAAAGGGGCCCGGGTTTGCTGAGTTCATCCGCAGGCTGCGCGATTCCCGGGTCCGACGGGAGCGTGAGGCCGTGCCGAGGGCCTTAGCAGACACCTCGCAGCGAGATCCTGGGCTCTGCAGCCCTGACTCACTCCGTGCGCGCTCATTAGCAGCAAGGCAGCGCTCCGGACTCACCCGCTCTTGTTTGCCCTGCGTTGGAGCCTGCAGAGAACAGCGTGTTCGTTTCTCTCCATAGTCGATATCTGCATGGCTATTATTTTTGCTGGCCAAAATCCATCTTCTCCAATAGCTCCTGGAACGCAGCAGTGTTTCTGTTTGTGAGACAGATGAAAGAGGAGGCCTTGCTTTGCGGGCAGCATCTCCTAATAAAACAGTGCGCAAGACTGCTCAAAGCAGAGCAAAAATACAGCTGCTTGCTATTAATCTGTGTTTCCTTTTTTCCTGCTGCTAGGTGTTGAGCTGTCCTGCATCATTAAATCCACCGTAACACTATCTCCCAGAATTGAGTGGAAGAAAATCCGAGATGGTGAAACCTCTTACGTATTCTTCGATAATAAAATGCAGGGTATGACGATTCATTGTTCTTTTCCTCTTCTTGCTTTAGAAACAAGTAAAACTGAGAGCAGATAACTGTAAAAGGAAAGATCTCTGTCTGTCTGTCTGCTTTCTCCTGGGAGGTTCTTAAGAGCACAAAGTTGCTTTCAAATGGTTCTGTTGACTCCAGAAAGGAGCCTAAATGTGCCTAAAATTAGCCTGTATGACTATCCACATTTTTTTTTTCTCTCTCTTTCTTCTTTATCAGGAGACTTTGCAACTCGTGCAGAAATTCTGAGCCGGACGTCGCTGGTGATTAAAAACACCACCCGGATGGACACTGCCACGTACCGCTGCGAAGTGGCAGCACCTTCTGATACTAAAACCATAGATGAGATAAATATCCAACTCACAGTCCAAGGTACTGCCTCAGGCCCCGATGCCCCTGCAGGCGTGCTGGCTAAAGGAACTTGCTCTGGGTCTTTCCAGAGCTGAAACAGTGGCACTCGACACAGTCTTGACACACTCTGAAACTTGTTTAAACCAGCTGGAAGTAGCTGAAAGTTTTGGTGCCTTTTTAGCACAGTCAGTTTAGAATGTGTGTCAGAAATGATCTAGTTCTCCTCACCAGGATGATTCACGTGTTTTTTGTCTTTGCCACAGTGAAACCCGTGACTCCTCGCTGCATAGTGCCTAAGGCTATACCTGTTGGTAAAACAGCCGCTCTTCACTGCCACGAGAACGAAGGTTACCCAAAGTCCACGTACAGCTGGTACCGCAACAGTGAGCCCTTGTCACCCGACACGAGGTCGAATGCCAAATTACAGAACTCCTCCTACACCATTAACCCCACCACTGGCACTCTGGTAATGCTCTTACAGATATAATTGGGACAAGGGGACTTTTAGGGTTGCTTTTGAAAGAAAAAGATTCTTTCACTTTACATTGCATGGCACGCAAGGGATAATTTGCAGAAGGTTATGTGCTCTAGGATCTGGGTGACTTTGGGACATGAAAGATTAACATGATGGAAGGACATACAACCCTAGCTGATTGATTTTGAGGCACTGCCAGTGTCACTTGCCTTTTTAGGAAGACGATGAAATGGCTTCCAAATCCCACTTGCTGTCTTGCACCCCTAGCTGCTAAATGCTGTCGGTCTGCCACGTTCTCTCTCCCCTTTTCTCCTCATCAGGTCTTCCATGCTGTGCACAAAGGCGACACGGGCCGCTACTCCTGCATCGCAACCAATGATGCGGGTTTTGCCAAGTGTGAGGAGCAGGAGATGGAAGTCTGTGAGTGCCTCTGCAATGTTCAGTCACGTATCCTCTTTAATATATTATCATCGCTGTAAGGCAAGAGGAATCCTAGACCATACCGTCTTCCCAGATTTCCTATAGCCCCAAAGACTGGTTCTTTTCCAGGAGAGTATCAAGATGGGGCTTCCCTATGGCATTTTCAAAGCTGAATGGCATCACGTGAGAAAAACTTGCCAATAGGTGCATTATGGATCTCAAATTTCCCAAGTTTCCTGAGTTTCCTTATACCAGTACAGCCAGTCCCTATTGCTGAAATATCCCTTTAAAAAAAATAGAGAAAGTCAGAGATGAGAGTAAGATAAAAAGCAATTCTAAAAATCAGGGAAAACATTAAAATATTGTTCAGTTCCATGATTGGTTTTGTCTCAAACAAACAAGCAGGGACTGGAATGCAACCAGTCCAAGTCCTTCCTTAGTGGAGTGAATCAGGGACTGAGCAGATCCTTATGAATTCTTGGTGCTTGCTTAGAATAGTTAAGAGAGAGAGTTTTAGTGTGTTAGGCTAGGATATTGCAACTGCCTTAAGAAAGTCCTGATCTTTTCTCTTTGCCAGATGACCTCAATATTGGTGGGATAATTGGTGGAGTCCTGGTGGTCCTTGCAGTTTTGGTGCTCATCACTTTTGGTATCTGCTGTGCCTACAGAAGGGGCTACTTTGCAAACAGTAAAGAGACTGCAGAAAGGTAAGCTGGAATTCACAGTGATCTTGTACACGTCCCCGTGCCCTCACCTGGCATGAAGTGGTCGGAAGGCAGAAATTTATGACCAAAATGTATTTCAGTGCATGACTTGGACATATTCCTTACTAGTCCCTTGCTACAGCCAACCCAACTCTTGAACTGTCCAGTTGCCCACTGCCAACACTGCACCATGCTGGAGCCTTAGGTGCTGGGGGACAGTTTTGATGTGGCTCCTCTTATGGTTCCTGCCAAGACTTTGCAGGGCAGGTGAGCACAATTCTGAGCCTATTGTGTGTGTGAGTGTTTGCCCAGGAGGTTGTGTGGTGTTGGCATAGGGAGGTCTACAATTTCATGAGCAGAGCGCGCTGCCTAATCAGCTCAAAGCATTAGGACGGGCATTACATGTGGAAGAGTAACCTCTCTGCAGAAAATCTCACTAGCTGTGATTAGGATTAAAAATGAACATTACAGAATGTGCACTCGAATTTTAGAACAACAGTATTAGGATTTAAAGTGACAGTTTCTCCATGGATCACGGATCCGAAACAAGCCTTGATATCCCTACAAAATCTGTAGAAGAAATAACATATGTACAAGTAGCATTCTCACCAGATAGGTTTGTCTATGTTAAATGTTTTCTTTTAATTGCACCCGTCTTCCTATATTCTGTTCTTTCATCTCCCCTCTTTCTTGCCCCAGAAATGAGATCTTTTCCTTTATTTCAGCTACAAGGCTCCAGCAAAACCTGATGGCGTTAACTATATCCGAACAGATGATGAGGTAACAAGTGATTTGCATTTAACATCTCTCTATGTAGGAGAGGCAAAGGACTACAAGCTTTTTTTAGGGAATGTAGTCTTCTTCGAGTGGGCACTGCTCAGAAGCGAGCATGTATAACAGAGAAAACAGAAGGGTAAAGGCTGAGTCATTTCCTTAGAAAAGATGAGCAGTTTAAGTTGTCTTAAGTGACTGATGCCAAGAGCTATCAAAAGCAGCTCTGTTCTGTCTCAGTTATCTCATGACTTGACCCCCTTAGGATGAGTTTCATTGGATTAAGTGGGCAGGCCATGATGCTTTTGTAAGAGAATTTGCATTTTGGGATTTGAATAGCTCACTAAGCTTAAGATCAGAAAAAGCCTCTCTCCATTAGCAGAGATACTGAAGAGGCAATGAGAAAGTTCACTGCTATGTCTTGCCATGTGAGAAGGGCACATGCAAAGAAGCAAAGGAGCACCCGACTGGTATGACTGGTGTCTCCCCCTCCTTACCAGCTAGGAGAGGGTGCTACCTAGACCCAGTGCTCAAACTTACATGAATAGGGTTTACCTGTCAAGGGCATTTTCCATTTAGAGGTATTAAGGGAAAAAAAAAAAGAGGTGCCTAAAAAGCCATTAGAACTTTCTGACACCCAGAACTGTTTCATTGCAGGGTGACTTCAGACACAAATCTTCGTTTGTCATATAAGATGCCAAAAGAATATTACAAACCAGCAAAAGCAAGTGTGAAAATACCTCCTCCAGGAACTCAACACAAGAGCAAAAGATGAAATAAGTGCGCTTGGAAGAGTTTGGAACACACCAGGACTTGATAGATAGCTATCTATGTACCTTTTTTTCTTTGCCAAAGTTGAAAGTAACTCCTCACTGCCCAGCCTGCATCTCCCCTGCCTCTGGAGATACCGACAGGATCACCTAAACCTCTCCATGGAGTAAGAAAGAGTTTTAACACTTCTCAAGAGACTGCTGCGGAGGTTTGCGGAACTGCCTTCTATTTGTGCTGCAGGGACATAGCCACGAGGTCCAAACCAACCAGGGAAGCAGCTTTAACTAAGTGCATATCTCAACCCGGTAGACAAAAAGGGTGCTGACATGGCAGTAGAAAGGCCTCAAGGAATCAGATTTGTCCATGCCAGGGGGACTCTCTCTCAGCAGCTTGCTGCCGAATCACACGTTTGTGATAGTCTGACGCTTTTGACTCTTAACTGCTCAGGTGCAGAATGGGTATCTGAATAGTTTACAGTGGCAGATACTGAAGCAGTAAGTGCAACTAACGTTCACAGCCCTTTCGTCAACTCCCTTAACTCCTTTTAACGTGGAACCTGATGCAGGCAGCATCAGTCCAGCAGGACTGATTCTGTTCAGTGCTTTATAGAAACTCACTGCCCGCAGGTAACCCCCAATTCTAATCTGCACGAAGCAGACTTGCCTCTGGCGTCTCTTCCAGAGGCTCACATTGGAGGTAGAGAACCTAGTGCTAAGACATCCCTTTCAGGAAAACTAAAGCCAAATACAGATTCCCAGAAAAGGTACTGAGATGTCTTGAAGCTTTTTTACCTTCTGCATTTATTTTGTAAAATCCCACATTCTAAATTTTTTGCAAAGATATATTTTGATTACTACAGAAAAAGGTAACATTTCTATTTAAAGTGTAAATATGCGATGCCAGCAGGGTTTAAGTAACGTAGCTATTTTTTTACTGTCTCAGCTACAGAGAGGAGCTCAAATTGTTGCTATGGTATGGCACTGTTAGAGCATATCCAGAGAGGTTGTGGAGTCTCCTTCTCTGGAGATCTTCCAAACCTGCTTGGACGCAGTCCTGTGCCACGTGCTCTAGTGACCCTGCTTGTGCAGGGGGTTGGACTAGATGATCTCTAGAGGTCCCTTCCAACCTTATCCATTCTGTGATTCTGTGCTTCTGTGATACCAGTATTATTGCAAAGAGTAATACAAAATTGCAGGTGGAACAGCATCTCTTTCCTCTTAAGCTAGCTTCAGCAATTTCCTTGTCACAAGAGGTCTTAAAAGACACAGAGCAGAGTCACTCAGGGATAGTTTTTGTAAATTTATGGCAGGAGCTATCAACTTTTTTTATATATAAAAATTACCTTTCTTGCAAGTGACCAACACGTAGTTTTTGTTGTTGCAAGAAACATCGAGGGATGGCTTTCTGGATTCAGGTCTGACAAGGTGACAGAGTGACTTTATATTTGCTACCCTCCTCTAATGTTTGCTAAAGCACTAACACAGTTTGTGACAGCTCGGCCAACTTGTAAAGTTGTAAAGTAAAGCCTGTAAGGCTCAGATTGCAAAGCAAAGGTAACTGTTTCTGGAGCTGGGAAAGCAAAAGCTCGATACAAAAGCACTTTTGTAGTGTCATTTGCAACTTTTCTCCAGACAACAAAAGAAAAATAAAACAAACAAACAAACATTCTCATAGCTTTAAAGGGAATAATTGGAACCCCTTGTTTCTTGAAAACATATACATTAACAGTGTTGAATAGCATTGGATACTGTAAAACTGCAAGATGTGGATGCAACACTAGAACTGTGCTGTGGTTTAAGATTTTTTTATATGTACCATAATTTAGTGTTCTTATATTTCTGATATAAATTGAGTTGTCTTAATTTTTCATGTATACAGTATTTTGAATACTTGACAATTTGGACTGTCAGTGTTATTTTTTAGTGTTCTGCATTAATCTGCTTTGAACTTTTCACCAAATAGTTACTAGATCATCCTAGGGGCCTCGCTGGACATGCCATTGCTGCATTTGTTTTGCCTAAAACCTAGCATTAGCGCTTTTCCTTTTGCTAATGAAAGTAAAAAAAAATGGGGCAGCCCTAACCATACGTTCTCTCTGGAACTGGGACACGACCACTGCAACTGAGTTATGGTTACCTTTTAAAGAAATGCTCTTCAACCAAGCCACACAGCATTGATTACTGTCCGAGCGCTGCCTCTAATCATCCTGACAGTAGTGAGGGTAACATTCCTTTGCACCTTCTGTATATCCACTACTCTTGTTTCATTTTGGTTTTTTTTTTCTGCTTTTAAGATACCTATAATAAGGGAGAGAAAGAAAAGGTTTGATTCAGGGTAGCTCTGGGCGCTATGGGAGTACAATCTACAGCCTCACTGTGAGCTGAGGGCAGCCTTCATGTGCAAAACGTGTAAGCTAAGAATCAAGACTATGGTTCAGTTCTAAAATGTGACAGTGGCATCTCTAACGAGAAAAGGGGAGATGATCCCCTAATACAGCTCACGAGACCTGATTGACAAAACTCATTGTATCTTTGTGAATAATATTCAGGTTTGTACTAATGTATTGTTTAACTTTACCAAGAATGTTTTACATAAATACCAAGTTATAAAGTATTCTTGTGGGTTTTTTGTTTTGTTTTTGAACAGTCACATTAATGGTAGTCTTTGCTTTCAATTGACAACTGAAGAGCTTCAGTTAGGTTCCCAGAGCAGCAGAGTTGCTTGGGAATGATCAGGATTCCAGCACTTACCCGGCACATTCATTATAAACCAGTTTTCTGGATGGAGCAAACGCTATGCACATGATTTACCAACCTTGATTTCAGTGATAGCTTCTCATATCCTGCTTTCAGTCAAGTAAGAGTCTATATGTAAAAGCTTCTGGGTCCAACACTAATTGAACCGAGTGCCTAAGATACCAGTGACATAGTGGAAGAGGCTTTGAGGCTTTAGCAATCTATAGAAAAAAACATAACTTCTCTCTCAGATGAAGAAGAGGGGAGAACTTGTGGGTGGAATTAATTCTCTAACCATTTATTTTCATAAAAATTTAATAGTTGGAAATAACATAGCTCACAAATGGAAATATTCCATTTAAAAGCGAACACTACGAGGCTGTTCATACACACAGGAGTTTACACAACAAATAAGACCCGCAGCAGCGTGCAATTACCAGATTTAGGGGTGTGGCAGTGACAAGCTGTTCCACCTTTGTTAAAATTAAAGCAACTATAGTATATCATCAAGAGGGACAACATGGCATCAAGTGAATTAGGCTGGGCGACTCGCTTCCCTGCAAGCTGTGATAAACACTTCTATTGCTAAGCTCGTGGCAGCACTCTGCTCTTGCTTTTCCAAATGGACAAATTATACATCCTGTGAGGGAAGAGAAAGCCTCCTTTTTGTACTGGAGCTTTTTAACACTCCAGTGAGCAGCCACCTATTACATATACATGTGTTAATGCAAGCTTTGCAAGGCCATACACAAGACAGTTTCACGTTAAAGAAAAAAAAAGTAGATATGGAAGGAAGGACATATGTCCACAGTGATTTATAATTACAGAGGAAAGAGACAACATGATGAAGGATCTGTACAGGAGTTCAATGAAAGGACTGGTTGTCTGGTTTCAGAGGAGTTCTCCGCTGGGACCGCCTCAGTGGGACACGTTGCTTGTTTTTTTTCACGGCTGGAGATTCTATTTTCCACTCCCGTGGCAAAAATGGTCTAGAAAAAGGAAGCAGAACCACCATTTATTTTTGCAATACTCTACTAGCCTTTCTTACTGTGACTGCTGTTTCAGACCCAAGCTGAACTTACGGTTTCTCCGGCGATGTCAAACAGATAATATCTCTTGGCTGGTCCTCAGCCTCTTTCTTCTCTGTAAATAATGCATATATTTTCATATTTTTAAAAATGTCAGACTAGATCATTTGAGTTCCTGCCCCCTCAGGTTAGAATCACAAAGATAACTTGCCTGTAGCCGAACCTGGCGTGTGCATCAAGCTGATGTAACTGACCCCAGCACCAAAAGTCAAGTCATTAATGGTCTCTGAAAGAAAAAACACTTATTAGCAGTCATTGCTATAACTTGATGGGTCATCGGTGCACATCAGTTACATACCCCACTCAGAGCCTTCCTGGTAAGTGGAGGAATGGAGATTAAATTTACATGTAGGACCTCAGTTGTGCCCATCTCTGCCCTAGCTAGACAGGAGGGCCACAGCTTCCAGAGAAGCTTAGCTATCTTCCACAACAACTACACCAGCTCCTGCTTGGCTGAGGGAATGAATTCACTCCTGCTGGCACTCACCCCTGAATCACTTTCAGGCCTGTTGGTTTCCCAAGTAAAGGCAGAGCACAAAGCCCTTGAAAGCTGACAAAATACCTAAATATCCCTCTGTGAGGGGCTGCTGACGGCCAGATGAGAGGAACCACTTGACAGGGAAGCAAGGAGGAATTGAGCCTGCCTGAACAGGCCATAGTTGTCAGCTGTCTTTTTGCTGTCATTTATCTCAGGAGAGATGTCACAACACTCAGATTTTACTATACTCAACTCTCTGCTTTATGTTCATATTTCCCAGAACCTTTCACAAAGAATTAAGGTAGAAAGTGCCTTACAGGACAGGAGATGGAAACTCTGCTTCTCTCTAAAGACTGACTGCATTTGTTCTCAAACTCTTTCTCTGTCCTGAAAGGGACTCACTGAAGCATGTAGAGGAAGCCCCATTTCCTATGGCTTAGCTAACCTCTGAATCTCTCACGACTGACTTGCAAGCATTTCAGCTTTGCACGGGGTGTCTTGAGAAGACAGCTTGGCTAAAAAGTTTATGTGAAAAGAGAGAAAGAACAAAATGGCAGAGAACCACCAGCAGGTAAGGCTTCCCATGCAACCGAGAGGCCTGCCTTTACATGTGCTGATGTACACAGTACTACAGTGAAGCAATGTACACTTACCCAGGTCCACTTAGCCAATCTCAAGGTTAAAAGCAGGAGAGGTGAGAAAGCCCCAGAACGCAGGGAGCAACTGTCAGGCAGAACAGCTTAATATGGTAGGGAGAAGAGAAATCCTTGCTCTTAATAAATAATTTTGTAAATGAGAACTGCAGCTCCAAGAGTTTCAGAATGACATATCAGGGAAAGAAAGAAAACATTTCTTTGACTGTCTGTCATCTTGAAAGGGCCAGCACCACCAAGCAGGTGGCTCAACGCACGCTAGCTGAAGTGATGATACTGTTCTGTACAGTTTGTCTCCCCACTGAAGGACAGATGCTTCCTCGAAGCAAAGCAGGAATTCAGCCTTAGTACCACTGCAGATTAACATTCCCCCTCTTTCTTCACCATATGGTGCTTAAGAGAAACAGCAGTGCAAGCTTCCAGACAGAGATTCAGTGCTTAAAGATGTCTGCTCTCCAAAAACATACCCTCCCAATTCCTGCACAAAGATCACTGCTTGCTGCTCAGACAGCAGAGAGAACATTGAGTCAGACAACTTTAGCAAAGAGTGGAGCATACAGGGAAGAGAAAGATTGGATTTTCCAGTGGATGCACATCACTACCATTGGTTTGCTCCTGCCTGCTCATGAATGTCAGGTATTTGCAGACAGCTGCACAGCTGGCTGCCTCATTGGCCATATGCAGTTGCCTTTCCTGTGAATGCAGGTCAGGTATTTGCACGGATTTGGGCAAATATTGCAGTCGGATACATATGCCTGTAGAATAAAAAGAGCTCCCAGCTGCCCCATGCAACGTGACCTGTTGGACACTCCTGTACTCCCAGCTTAACTGGAGCTTTCTCCTGAGCATGAGGAGGAGTTAATCACATGCAGGCCATGCTACAGCAGAGATGCCCTAAAGGAGTTTAGCAAGGAACTGACATAGAGGAAGGAAATCTACTGCTGAAACTCAGCTCTATTTGTTTTCTACTATAACTGTCTTTTGTGCCTGTACAAAGGGACACCACAGAACGCTCCAAGACTGTCAGAAAGCATTCCAATAAAACGTAACTTTTGAAGGTCAGGCTTTATGAGATGGTAATTCAGCTGCAGTGGGCATAAGCACAGCAGAATCTCCTAACTTGTGTATCAGCATTAGACTCCTCTCTCTGCGTTTCTACTTCAGTTTCCACAGCAGAGTAGGAAAACAAGTCATTCCCTCTCCAGTTCTCAGCTCACTTCTTTCTTAGGAGTACAGCACACACGCAGAAATGATTGTGTAGGTTATTAATGCCAGCTGAGCAATCTCTTCCATTTCTCACACTTGTCACAGCCCACTGCCTGCCTTGCTAACAGAAGCAGGCCCTCCTTCACGTGGGATCCTCTGTTTAGATGGCAGGAAAGCATGTCTTCGAGGACTTCCCTCTGCAGCAGGGTTCTCTAGGTCAGTTTTTCAAAATGCTAAACTGTGCTTCTGGATTTAGAAAGAGTATCCCAAAGCAATAGAAACCTGCAAACCCCAGTTAATACATGCTGCTAAGGAGCTCAGCACCCCAAAGCTGACAAAGAAAGAAAGGGCAATAATGCTGTTACTTCAGCAGTCAGAATAGGTACTCACCTGGACTGACTCAAAACTGTAATACCCTGTGGCATGTGAATGGAGATTGTCCTTTCTTACGTATATCACTCATTGCAGACCTTCACCTCTGTAACGGTTTGTCCTTACTACCACCATTTAGATAAATAATTGGTTAACACTAACTTTCTCTGCTCTATAGCGGGGCCACACATGGCAACGTCTCTCAGGATGGATGTCCAGCCCAGTTTGGAAAGGGCTCCTTTGGGTTACTCACCTTCTGGGGTACTGATTGCACGGCCCGCTACAGAAACGTTCGCTCCAACAGACTGTTGATTCAGGCTTTGAAGGGATCCTAGAAATAACAAGGAAATAGTTAAGAACAGAAGAGCATTCACTGGGAGCCACCGAAGGTCCAACAACTAAGTTGCATCAACTGGATCTAGTCCTTTATCTACCTGTTTGCAGCAAGTAGCCTACCTTGCTTGCTGCCAATTGTGCTCGATGGAAAAGCTACAGCTGACAAAGCTCCTCCAACACTCTTGCTGCGTTGCTTGCCTCTGGCCTCCATCGCTTTCTTGGCCGAATTCAGGATGGCAAACGTGCTCAAGGACGCTGGTCTACAGGACAAGAAGACACCAGAGAAGCACAGAAGAGATTTCTTTCTTCAAGGCCAGATGAGAAGCATGTGATGAAGGAGAGTCCTATCTCCTCCCAATTACTTACAGTCTCAGACACCAAATGCAAGAGAAGAGTGTGGGGAAATATTGGTAGCATTCATGATGATAAACAAGGAGGAAATAAGCAATAGCCCTGCAGAATAGCATAACCTGCAGTATCAACAGGAAGCCCATACCTGTGACTAATTGGTGGCAGTTTCACAGCATCACCTTGAGGTATAGGAAAGTCAGAAGAGGCAGAGGAGAGATGCAATCCTCCCGGCAAGGACTGCCTGCGAGTAGCAGGAGACTCGGCATCGTTATTCCAGCCGCTGGAAGGTACAGCTGTCTCCAAAGACGGAGGTGGCTACAGAAAACAGGAGACAAGACCATATATCTAACAATGGATACAAGTGTGGAAAACCTACACACTTCGCCATAAGTTCTGTCTGATGAAGAAATGTCCTTTGTGTGCTGGGCATAAAGGGGTGCCAGGGAGAAAGAATTTAGCGGCCAAAATTTTAACAAGAAGTGCAAAGTAACTTGGGATGTGACACAGATGCCCTAGTTTAAAGGTCTACATATAGGCGCTCTACAGAATCAGAGAGAGAAAAGGTACTTCCAGGACAAAAGTCATCTCAAGGCAGGTATTAAAAATATTACAGGACAGTTTATCCCAGTACATTTTTATTTCTTTATGTTGGTTTTAAAAGAGGATTTGTCTAGCATAGATGTACATTTCCACCTTGTACACATCTGAAGTCAGGTAAAATGAACCCTTCTCTTTGTGACCTGTCTATCTTCTTAACAGAAGGGCCTCATTTTTTTCAAAAGACAGGGCCTGAAAATAAGGCTGCCTTGAAATGCCATAGTTTGCAGTCAAATACTGAGGCATCAGAAAGGGCATCACTTTAAAAAGCTGTGACGTAGAGGAATGATAATTAGATCTTCAAGATGACACAGCTGAATCATCCCAGCTCTGATGAAAGCATCTGTACAGCACAGGTAGGTGTATGGAAATAGAGGGACTATCTATGTAACAGCCACCAAGAGCCAAGTAAAGGAGTGGTTGCTGCTGTCAGCTCCAAACAGACGCAGAATTGGTCTGGCATGATACAGCCTGCAACTCAGATCTAGCTAAATATTAACTTCTTTTCTCTCTTGGAACAGAGAATAATACAGGATATTAACGCAGCCAGTAGCAAATTAGACTTGGCCTTCCCTTTAAGCTAAATCATATTTAAATTAATTCTTTGCTGTTCCTCTTTGGTTTTGTTCTTGATTTTGTTTTATTTAAATGTATTTAATGACTTTGCAACCAAATATTCTGTCAGCTAGTATGAAAGCTGAGAGAACATTGCATTAACCATCCTGTTAAGAGTTATATAAAAAGGTTCACAGACATACAAGCCCTGGGAATTATCTGCAGCATAAATTTTAGTAGAGGAGACAGGACGTGTAGAGAGCAAATGGCAACAACCACCTCTGTCTGTGCTGTCTTGACCTTGTCTTGGTCAGATTCCTTCTCCCTTGCCAGTTGCTCTTCATATTTCTTCATGTCATACTCTAGCTCAGCTGCCAGCTGCTTGTCCACAGCAAAGAAGTCTTTGATTTCATTTCGGTAATCTTGCATCATTTCCTGGAACAATAAGGAGTGTTTAAACTCTTAAAAAAAATTCTCTCCTGACTGCTGATTCATGCCTCCATTCAGATCACAGCTGTTTAACTGTAAAAGGAAATACCAGTTGGTACACCAGAGATGTTTCCAGCAGACTAAGAGTTTCAACTCCAATTTGTACTTTGGAACATGAAAAAGCTTTCTGCCCACATCCCAGTGAAGAGACATGTAACGCACTGCTCTGCCTCCTACATAATTTAACACGGTGACAGTGTCACAGCATCACATGCCTTCAAAATTTGCTTCCAAGAAGGCTGTTTTTCCACTACTGGTCACACATCTAACACATGAACTCGAGAGGGGAAAAAACAAAACAAATGCACTTCCACCTACCCGTAGGTAGTTCATGAGGTCCCTGAGAGCTGGAATTCTCTTCTGTTCCATCAGAGACTTCAGCGAACTGATTATTGGGATGATGTTTTCTATGAAGTTTTTCTTTTGAACCTTTTTTTGAACAAGGCACAAATAGTTAGAAGACACAAAAAAAGGAGAGGTCACACGGTTGTTAGATGAATGGCTAAGTGAAAAGTTACTATTTCCTGGCAAAGAAACACACAGTGCTTCCACAGGCGCCCTAAGGTCAGAGAGGTGCTACAGACAGAGCCATAAAAACAGCATATAGGCCCAGTGGGTCCTTGGCAATTCTTGCACAAGCCTCTCTGACACAGAGGGTAGCATTTCTCCCTGTATGGTGAAGAGCTCTCTTTCTACCCCAGACCAGGTGCTGCTCACCTGTGAGATGAGCTTTTTTTGTGCTGCCTGCATAACCGCATTAGCCATTGCCATTTCATCTTCGTCAGGCTGCACGTCCTCTTCGGGTTTCGATCTCATAGCGGATAACTTGATTTCTTTGCAGCTAAGGATGGCAAATGTATCCGACAGCAATTCACTAGCTTCCAGGTCCAGTGGAAGTACATTATCCACAAAGCAGGCTGTAACAGGGAAGAAATAAGAGAATATTCTCCCGGGAACAGCAGTGCCAGTAAAAACACAAGGATATCATTGAGGGATCGAGAGTCTAATTGTTTCATAAAGACACCAGTTGTTTGCCAGATTTGTTATCTTATTTACTTAGAGAGAAACCCCTACCTAGAACACTGTGGCTAATCTTTGTTGTAATGCTGAACCTCTGCTCATCTGTGAAGTGGTCTAGCAGGAACTTGTAGATATGCATCCTTTTTCCTTTGTTATCTTTTCCCTTCAAAGAAAAGAGATTCTTCACCCTGTAGTAGAGGAAGATTTTTACAGGGACTAAGTCACATTACAAAAACCTGCAGAAACAGTGAGACTTTAAACTGCAAGGAGACTTTGAACACCACTTCCAAGACCTATAAACAAGTCAACAAAACAATGTGTGCCACGCATTGGCACAAATTACAGAACTCCTCTCAAAATCGTCACAGGGAGGGCAGGACCCTCTTAAATTTATACCACCCCTCTCTACCTCATTAATCCCACCCTCTGCCCTGCAGCAGCTATATGAAGCGTCAGGAAAGCTTTGCTGCAATCCAGAAGGGCACAAGCACAGAAGCCATGGCTTTGTGGTAAAGGAATACAGAGGTGCTCGACTGACCGTTCACTCTGGGGGAACCTGTTGTACTTCTCGTGCTTCTCGTAGCTGTTGAAGTGGAAGATGCACTCAATGAAGTGCTGCGAGAACATCACTGGATTTCTCTTCAGCAAGAGATGCACCAGGCAGAATTCCCCAAACCTAAAAAGGAGCAAGTGAAAGAACTAGTATGAGGACAAGTGATAAATGCTTCATGGCAAGTTCAAAAGAAACATCTCCCTTTACTGTGAGTCACTGTAAACTGAGCGTTAAGCAAAGGTCTGAATACTATTTGTGCTGGAATATATGCTTGGGCGTGATACACTTACTATTTAAAATGCCAGCATTCATTTTGGCATTGACACATGCAGTCTGATGCCTGCGCACATGCAGAAATCTGTTGGCTGCTTCCTGAAGTCCCTACAACTGGACTGTATTTAATAATACTCTCCTTCTCTGCTCAAATCCAAAGCTCCCAGTCATGCTCAGGATAATAAGTGTTAGACAAATCAGTTTCTACTTGGCAACAGGACACAAGGTAGCAGCTGGACATCAAGGCATTTTTATGTTCTCCTTCCTGCCACTTCAATAGGAAGGGAACTCAACAAAAATCTCATTTTCTCTATTTTGCAAAGTTAATCATCACAAGACCTGCAAGAGCTGGAAGTTAATCCCAGCCTGGAAGAAAGTGTTTTTATCTGGACGCATCCACTGAATGCAGATGCAAAGGAGGAGGCTCCCAACAGAATAGCAATGTGTTCCTCAGCTAAAGCACAGGGAATGTGATGTTGCAATGCCACCATCTACTGGAAAGACATTTTTACATATTAAAAACCATGTAAAAGAAGCAAAGGCATGACTGTGCACTAATCAGCAATGCTCTGTTCACTGTCCTGGAAACACCAGTCTTCATTTTGACTGCTGCAGGAAGCAGCCTAAGCTTCAGCACCCCCCACTTGCTCCTGTTCTCAGGGGAACCTGTCCCACTTCAGCCCTCATCATTCGTGGACTAACAGTATCAAACAGGTGCTGCTGAGAACATTCAGCTTGGCCTTCAACCATCTACTCTCTATATCCAGATCAAGTGTGTCAGTACGGAGCTGCAAGAGACCTACTCTCATTTCTCATGTAACTTCAAAACCTACAGGATCTTTATGAATGTGCACTTCAGGCTAACGTGCATAATTCCTCTTACATATCCAAGTACTATAAAATGTGGTACAAGCCTTACAAAGACAAGGCTTGCCACAGGAGAGAAAGACAGCATTTAATCCTATTCCTAGGACAAAAAACATCACAGGGCAGAGTCTACTAGAAAATGGGGAGGCAGATTTAAGCCACATTTCAAAAAACGCTTTTTTTTTTTTTTTTTTGTGGATGAGACTCAAAAAAGGGTGTAGAGCTCCAGGCTTTGAGAACAGCCGAGACCACACAGCTTGCTACTTTGGGACCTTCAACTGGCTTAGAAAGTTCACCAGTCCTTTTTGTTACCATTTCAGACCCTAAACCACGACTGCAGAAGTTAAGAGAGAAACGACAATGTCACCTGCTGTGTCTCCTGGAAGTTTTTCCATATACGCTGAACATGCAAGACTGAGATTGCTTATGAGAACATCTCTGACCTTTCAACTCCTTCCGTGTTTTACAGAATGAATATTTTACCTGGCAATATCTGGATTTGGATCCACCAAGACACTGACGAACTGGAAGAACAGACAGTCTTTCCATTTCACAAACTCCTCCTACCAAAAAAAAAAAAAAACAAAGCAGAGTATAAAATATCAGCTTGAACCAGGAAAAAGCTAGTGTGAACACTCAGACTGCAGCCAGGGAATTGCATGGAACCTAGGAGCACACACACATCAAACAAATGAGCAAGCTACACAACCTCACCAGGAGGCAGGCAAGACAAACTGCACCATGACAATGTTCTGGGGATGCTTTAAACAGTAGCACAATGTCAAGCATCCAGCTTTACCCCAGGTACAACAGAAAAATCTGTTCTCCAACACCAAGGCACAGGTGCTCCTCCATATTGTTCTCAGAGCCAAGCGCACGGCAATCCGCCTTTGTTGGGTTTCTATGAACACAGGAGGGCAAACATGTTCTGCCTCTCAGTGTTTACATCTCCAGAGCAATAAACAGAGACAGCAGGAGAAAAAAGTGCTGTGGCACTTATTACATTCCCTCACACAGGCGCGATATGGAAGAGAATTCACAAGAAGCAAAGACGGAACAAGACGACAAACATGGGAGGAAAATAATTTGGTTACCCAACTGTAATAAGTGCATTGGAAGTGAATCCTTCCTAGCTAGCTAGGAAAGAGAAAAGTAGCAAAAACATAGTTTAAGATCTGCTTGAACTGATTCTAGAATCAAGCTATAAGCAATACCTCTCTGCTGAGTGAGTGTAAGTGCAGCAGGTCGCCAAATACATGTCACACTTTCTATTTACCTGCAGCAGGTTGGTAAGCAGGATCAGCGTCTGCTTACGGATGAAGGGACTGGGGTCTTTCAGACACATGGAAATGTTGGGAATGTATCTGTCCACCATGGTGGTGTAGCGGACACACAGGTCGCACATGACAATGACCACGTTGTTGCGAATGGCCACATCATCTGACACCTCCAGCTCTCGAGCCAGAGCTGCAATGCATTTCTTTGCCAGGTCCTCATGCTGTAAACACAATTTACCTGTCAAACAGAGAGGATAGGCTCAGCGTGGCGAATATATTCCTGTTCCTCACCACCACAGCCCAGCCTACTGCCTCCTTTGAATGCAGTGGGGGCCAGGAGGGAAAGCAGAAGGTAGAGAGGGCATAAATAAGAAACATGCTGAAACCTGATGAGCAATCTGTCAAAGAAATTAGACTTCAAGAAGCTCCTTCTAGAGTTTTCTTAGACCTAAATCCGGTCTAAGAACCTGCGTACATTCCTGAGTACAAGTCAAGTAGCTAAAAGGAACAGCCCAAGCTGTCATAGGTATATCGGGGAGAAACTTACCCTGAAGAGCATCACTGAATCAACTTAAAATAAGAATAATAAAAAAGGCTCTTGCAGACAGTTTCTAAGCTCTGAACAAAAGTATTTAGCTTCCCAAAGCAAGTAAGGAAAGAACAACAATATCCAGGTGCATGAGAGGAGGCTCGTTCATAGTCACAGAGGTGCTACAAGCACAGAAGAAATTTCACTTAACACTCTTCATGGCTCTGCAGATGCAGATCTCACCAGGCCTCTATCGCAGAGAAGCTCTCCTAAGCTCCTCCTAAGGAGGACAGGTAACCACGCACAGCCACTCTGCTCTCAAGTGCATCTAAGTACTTTGTTTTTCCATCCTGTGTTGAGCACCTTGTTATAAAATAATCCTTCAGGCAGACAGCAAGCAACTCCAGGAGTACAAGGGTAGTACGAGCCTGAAGGACACGTTAGCTATTACTCACCTGTAAGCCTACGTCAGTGTGCATTAATCATGTATTAATCAATTTGAAAAAGCACATATATGGCAGTATGCTTATGGTTTGTGCATCTTGCTGCCACAGATATCTGCATTACTAAGAGCTCCAAGCTGGAGCAATACAAACACTGAGCACTATGCATTACCCGTCCTAAGTGCCACGCTTCTGAACAGAATTTCCACCAGGGAAGAGACAGAAGGGTGGGAAACAGAGGCACGAGGGCATGTCTCTGCTGCAGGACTGTGCTTACCCAGAGTAATGAACGCGTGAGCTCTGGCCACCGGAGGCATGGTCGATCCTCTGAACTGGGACAACGGCTGAGAAGCTGGAATTTCCTCACCATTTAGAGCACTAGACACTAGGATACAACAGATCAGGAATGAAAACGTGCTTTTGGAGCAGAAAGTGTTGTCTGTAAATCACTATTAAAGGGAGTAAAGACTGCGACTCACGCTGGTCCACGTTGATAGAGGAAGCCAGAATGGACTGAATCAAAAGAAAGATGCGTTTCTCAACCTTGGCTGGACACAGCTGCGCAGCCTCACCCAAGATGAAGAGATGTTTCACCTACAGACAAAAGCAATACAGCAGTCAAAAGGCAATGGCTAAGCTGCCAATTAAATCAGCAGGAGTCTGCACAGTACTTCTCCAAAAACAACTTAAAAATCTCTCACTCCTTTCAAGGGGACAGCGGCTAGAGAAGAGAAGCTGAAGCTTAAAAACAAAAGTGTGGGTGTGTGTTAAATAAACTCTAACTCCCTCACACCCACTAATAATATTGAAATAATCCTCAAAGCATTCTAAGCATTTTACATCTGTTCCCAAACAGCTACTTGGAAAAGTACAGCAGCAAAGGAAAAACATATTATTAAAAATACGTAGGACATCACCTCCCTATAGCAACTTCTTATGAAAAAGCTCCTGTAACTTCCCATGCTCATCTAAAAAAAAAAAACCTATCTCCTATCAGATTATACACAAGGCATACACATCAATATTTCTTATACAACACAGTTATGTACATGATCCTTAAGGAATTTTCCTTTCAAGAACACATACACTCCTGGATCAATCCTAGAAGAAATACCAGAATATCAAACTTACCAGGAGATCCTCTTGTAGCTGCTCTGCTCCATCCTTCCTGAGGACTATATTTGAGATATAGCTTTCACAAGCAGATACTATGTCTCCAAACACCTGGTTGAGCAGCTCCTATTCCACAACGGAACCAAATTAGTTCAGTGCTTTATCCATTAAAACAAATTCAGTTGCAGTAGCTCTCCATACATAAATCTCTAATTTGAATGTGCTCTTCTGCTTAAAAAGAAAAATCCAGGTCCTACTGACATCAATCAGACACACTGCCTGGGGTTTTAAAGTTCTTGCATATCAAGGGATGCATCCAAGTGCCAAAACACCTTGAAGAATCTGGCTGGTAATGATCCACAGGCCTAAGATTACCTCATTATAGAAATCACATCAGTTTAAAGAGAAAGCATTTGGATACAAAGGTACAACTGCATTTGTTTGCAAGTCACACTGTAGCAACTGTGCTTACCAGTGGGGATTTTCTGAGCATCAATTTTAAAGAATGCAACAAAGATCCATCAGCAATTGCTGCCACATGAAAAGCATTGTGCAGCCTTCCATACTATCTGCTGAAGTTTATTAGGATGCTTATTTTAAAATAGCTGTCATCAGTATTAAAAAAGAAATAACCCATGAATACACAGAATTCATTAGCAAGGGAAACTTCCACCAGTTTTAACGTCTTTGTGACTGTATTTAGATTTTATAGCAAGAGATACCTCACCTTCTAACTGCAGAAGTGAAACAAAGATACATCATAAAACAGATGGGGAAGCAGGCAGAAAAATGTGCAAATAGTGTTCTATTAACTCCCTACTCAGGCCCGTGAAAGACAGCCAGAAAACATCAATCTACAGCAGCTCTGACACAGAACAGTTTGAGTTTATAGTATAAGCTTATAGCTTCCAATTGGACCAATTCCAAGCAGAACTGGTGTCAAATGGCACAGCAATAGTCATCTTTAAGACCTCTGTAAACCCTGACAGAAGGAAACGTAGGGTATTTCAGATGAAAAAAGTCCTTGTTAAGAAAAACCTTTTACAAGTCCATCCATAGCTGCAGTGTGCCTAGAGAGCTGAGCAGCAGAGATGCAAGTTGCTCAAGTCAGAACCTTTTTGTTTAGTAAGCTAAAGCCTGCAGATAGGAGACAGGAGCTGCCTTCAAAAGGCAGCCCTCCAAAGAAGTGTGGACAGCCCTGCAAAGAAGTGTGAGGCGAGCCATTTTAAAAGATTCATTTGAAGTCACACCTGTGCCTCCTCTGGGACATCTGCATACGCATGGCAGAGCTTCTGCAGAGCTTCTACAGCTGGGCTAATCACCTCCAGGGGACACTGAAACTCCCGCAGCCAGCACTTGATATCATCTGAAAAGGAGGTCACACACCTACGATGAGCACTTTCTAAGCTAGTGAAATGCTTAAGAGGAAAAATACTGTTAAACTGGAAAGAAATCTGAGCTGTGCCTTGGCCTCTGCAGTTTCTCCGGGCCACTCACCGATCAGTCTCTCACAGGTGCTCCTAGGGAGGTGCTTTGCAACATGACCGATGACACACAGGATATGTCCAGTAGTATCAGCACTTGTGTTCTGCTGCCTGAAAAACAGCAGAGGGGACAAGCTAACATTAATGCTAAGAAACAATGCTAAAGCACAGTAGGAAAAGCTTTTCAGCCAGGATATGTATCATCAAGACTGATGTGTCAAATCAGAGGAAAAAACTTAAAAAGCTCAAGGTAACAGATGGTTGTTGCACAGATCTGCAGGCCATACTTGCCTCCAAGCCTGAAGGGAAAACCGATCTAAGCAGCCAAACAGCACTCTGCTCGTGGAAGGACAAAAAGCACTCACTTGCTTCGTTCCCCTTTTTCATCCCCATCTTTCATGGGCAACGGGGTTCAAAGCACACGTATACCTGCTGGTACTGTTCCAGGCTTCAATGATCTTGGAATAATCCAGTTTGGGTGAAGAACTGGCCACCTTGGCGAGCAGCATCCAAGCTGGTGCAGCATGGTCTGTTTCTACGTGGGACATGACGTTATTGACAAAGGTGGAGGAGAATTTATTCTGCTGGGACCAAACGTGGAAAGCTTTGTTCAAATAACGGCTACAAGGAAGAAAGAAAAGAAAAAATAAGTTTCAAAAGGAGTAAACAAAATAACTAGTGTTTGAGTCTGCCAGTAAAACCGACATATCTATCTGAGATACACTAGGCAACATAAGAAAGCTGCTAATACTTTGTATTCTCACTTCTCAGAAGAAGTCAGGATTTTCCAGTATATTTTTTACCAATATTTACCACTCTCAGTTACCAGCTCACAACTCTGATGCACTTAGACATGGATGGCAAAAAGGCATAGATGCCATGCTGTTATGCCACCAAGTCAGAAAGCCTAAATGGCACAACACAAATCAAGACAGGATAATTTCAGCAAGCTTTAAGGCAGGCTTGCTGGCAGTTTGACATCTGTAATGGGTCAGGATATAGTGATGTTAAGGAACCACAGGTTGCTCCTTTCTCTGTTTACCTCTAGTTACCTATTTCATGTTGAGAAAGTTCTGAGATTGATCAAGCTGTGAGGTACTTTAAGGTCATCAAGTAGAAGGTGCTATGAAACTGTCTTATAAAACTGCCCAAATTGGAACATTGACAGTTTCACAGATTGGCAATGCAGCACAACCAGCAGCTCGTTTTCTATTTCTGAGCTATGCCTTGTTGACTAATAAACATACAGGTCTATAGTCAACTGATGTTGTATCCTTGCCATACCGTGTGTCACCCCTTTTCTCTTTCTGCTTCCCACAGTGTTCTGCAAAAGGCAGAATAATACTATTTGTCATAGCACAAGCAACATATTGTACATCAGAATTACTAAAAGGTGCTGTTCACCTTTCTTCATATATATATATATATTACCTTCTGTCATCAGAACATCATTTAACTTAAATATTAATTCGGCTAAGAACAAATAGACAGCACATGCCATTTAAGCAGCACATGAATATGATACTTAGCAGTCCCTGGATATACAGTAAATGAGAAAGCCAAGAGAATAACCTCAGACTTGCATCTTAGCCCTCCAATCAATAGGCAATTTGCTACTGTAAAGGGAAAACTGCATATTCTAACAGGAATAGAAACAAAAACATCTAGATTTTTTTCCATGGATGCTAATATTATAGAGGCACTACTATCCCACACACTGGACAAGAGGGCTGTTCCATATATGCCAGCAGAATCCAAGCTGCCTTTCACAGATGATAATGTGAGGGGAAGACAGGTACTTACCACAGCTCCTGGCTTTCTGAAGTCAAGAGGGTAAGGAGCTCCCACGCCAGAGCCTGCTTTTCATCATCACTTCGGAATTTATTGTAATGCTTTATATGCTGCAACAAGAGCTGATCCAGACAATCCAAGGCCTTTTCTTGGACCGAACTTTCAGTGTCCATCACAACAGGCACCACTCCGCACAACCAGGCCTTCTGCACCAGAACATTATGGTGCTGAGACTGAGAGAAAGCAGCTTTGTGTTAGAAATGTTTCCAAGTCCTGTGTGTTTGGAGAAGATCAGTAAAGGCCTAGAAACCTTCAGAGTCATCTGCCACCTATGTTGCTTACAATAAGGCAACATATGGAGCAAGGGGGCTCCTTCACACCACGCAGTGCCGATCACATCTGTGAGCAAGCTCCCTGGTATTCCTGCACAAGTTCTGTAAAGCTTTGTTTCACAACCCTATAAATAATTGTAAGTGTCCCAATAAAGCTGTACAGCAGATGATTCAATACTAAAAACAGGGAGCTGTGATTAATATAAACCTCATGCTCTGAGTCTAAGCTACTAACCCTTTGTGAATAAATAGAAAAGCAGGAAAAATACTGCAGTGATACCCATCTACACATTACTTCTCAGTGAAGTGATTCAGATTTTTTTCAACTTGATAAGGCCAACAATATAAACATTTTCTCCATGACACACAAACCAAGAGCCAGGAAAATAAATGTATCCAGCAGTTGGAAGCATCCTACATAAATCACAAGTTTATGTGAGAATGAGTCATGACTTGCAAGTCAAAAGGTAATAAAAAACTTAAAACAGAGTCATAAAAAGAAAGTGGATGAATGAATAACTGACATGTACCAGATTTGTCTGTTTCTTCCCTCCTTTAGCCCCCACTTTGCCCCTCTCGGGGCTGGATGGGATTTTGGGCTGTTTTTCCTCACCATAAGCAGCTCTGTTATAGACTGCAAGGCCTGTTTCCGTACGGTGATAGCAGGGTCCCGGCACCGATCTTGAAGAGTGGACAAGTCTTCTGGAGCACAGGGAATCACGTTGTTTTTCAGGATGCTCATAAAAACCTGCAAAGCAAATCCAGGATACCTTTTTTTGGATACACCGGCTGTGAGAATTTGGTAGCAGATCAGAAATACAACCCACACCCTACCAACCTTAGCTAGAGATTAACTGATTTCACTGACTCTGGAACATCACATGCACAAGCTGGAAGAACTGGGCAGAACCAGAGAGGTAGATGGATCAGAGAGCATCTTTTCCATTTAGATTTTGTACAAAGTCAGCTTCACATTTTCCCCTTGAAACTGATTATGTCTTTTGTATGAACTAGGTCTTTCATCCAGTACAGAAAGAGGGGAAAAAATCCAAAGCCTTGCAACAAAGAGCTAAAAAGCCATAAGCTAACAAACTCAAATCAGTGGGGGAACCGAGGGGAAAATTGGGAGCAAACAGGACTAACACAAAGAAAGACAGTTGACAATAACATTTCCATTAAACAATGCAGTTTTTAAAGCTAATGACTTCATTAAAGAATTGAGCAACAAGCAGAGAAATGCATTCCACTGTTAGAGGTTGAATATAACCTAGTGTCTTTCTTAATGAGGTCAAAGCAAACTAAGCAGCTAATATGCTTGGGTTTATAAAGGAAGCTGCTTAATTTAAATGTCTAATGACAAAAGAGGCTCTCTCTGTAAAGGACTGAATATGGGAATGTGAGCAAGAGTACTAGAAAAGGTTTCCATCATCATATTTGTATTATTCACTTATCAGGAACTGGTCAACAAACCCTCTTTAAGGCCTGTCTGCTCTCTGCAGGAACAGCCAGAAGCTGCAGGTGGACACACTTACACACACATTGCCTCAGTACTAGGGCTTATTTCACTTAATGCCACTCCTGGTAATCACAGAGAGCAAAGAAGCAGTCAAAAACATACCTGCAGAGCGGATTTCCTCACATTGGTCTTCTCATCCCCTGCTCTCAGTCTCAGCATGGCCATGATCTCTCTTCCTATCCAAATCCACAAAGAAAAAGAAATTAAAATAGACTGCCCAGAACATCACTCTGCAGGGCTAACACAGGGAACACTGTGCAGCAGCAGGGAGAGGCAGAGCTCTGCACTCAGCTGAGCAGCTCTTAGTGCCAGAGGCTTTGAGGGAGGAAGAGAGGGGGACTGAGCAAAACAGGATTATCTGGGGCTTTTTGTCCTGATAAGGTATAAGCAAATGGAATTGAAAAATCTTTTTTTTTTTCTTCCCCATCAAAAAAAAGCATAAGCAAATGGAATTGAAAAGAGAAATCTTTTTTTTTCTTCCCCATCAAAAAAAAGGTATTTTAGAACATATCACAAAAGAAAATAATATGTCAAGTCATTGGATACATGCAGCAAAAAGAAATAATCTGTAATTTCCAGCCCAATTATTTTTCTGCATAAGAAATGTTAGGCTGGCATTAAAGTTTGAAAGCCTCATCAAATGAATCATGCACAGCTCCAAAAGTCTGTAGCACACATAACCTTGCCATCTGTGGGAAAAACACTTTGAGGACAGCCCACAAACAAACGAATCCAGTCCACACCCAAGATAGGTCGACAGACTTCCATGCAGAGAGCTGCTCATGACTACGATCTTTTGACTAATGCCTCACACCTCCACACAGCACGAGCACACGCACTTCTGTACTTTCTAGAGGAGAAATTGTTCCTCCTTGCAAACCGCCTGAATTTCCTTGGGCTTGCAGGAGAAGAGCCCGAGAGCCCACATGGATAACAGGAAACCTCTGCCATGAATGGAAAGTTGGGCCTAAAAGGTTACTTTTCCTAGCCATATGCATATATATTTCTGTACATTTGTGGGAAAAATACTTAATCAAGATGATGGCTTGCTCAAGATGATTGCTTATTAAGTGACACATAGCTGAATGCATAAAGCCACAATCAACTGTTTCTTAGCTTTCAAACCATTCAAAAGGACTGACGACAAGCTGGCAGTTGCAATCATTTTACCAGTCCTCCCAAGGCTTGTATCATCCCTGTTATAATTGTGCCAATGATTTTCCAGACAGACACCAAGTTTGGAGATCTGCTGGATACAGAAACTTATCTGAAGATCTACTGTGCTGCCATTAAGCAATAGCATTAGTCACAGGGGACTGCTGAAAATTAGTTTGAAGATTGATTTTGACCAGAGAAAATAAAGGGACTTTGATCTGTGTGATTAGTGTTTCCCTCCTGGGCAGCTAACTACCATCTCACCTTCCTCCTGAAAATAGCTTGACAGAAAAAGCACAGAATGTTTTCATTGCAAGATTTTTGCCTTGAAAACAGTTCAGCTTTTGTGAAGGTCGCCAAATCTGCTAAAACAATCACATTTTGCCAATTGGCATTAATTTTACTCACAGGAACACAGGAAAAAAAATCAGAGTTCTAAAAAGCTGAGAACTAGCAAGGGAACACAATGTGCATACACTGCTGGGTACTGCATATTCTGCAGCACATATTTCTCTCTGCATACTATCCCTATCCTTCTCATCTTTGCCCACATGCATTTAGCACATCCTGCTTAGCCTTGGCTGAGATTTATTTTGTGTCTGAAATATGAGCTGTTTGATCTTCATAAAAGTGCAAAATTAGTACAGGCACAAGCCAGACACCAACGAGTGCCAGAGAGCTTTGCTAATGCACCTTGACTGACTCGCTGAGCCCTGTATTTCAGCTATCCTCTGGAGCCCCAGACAGTCTTTTTTCATTCAATCCCTTTCTCAATATCTTTAGCCAAGTGCCAACTGTATGCTCAGCTGGGGATCAGACACAAAACCAGGGATCCTCTGCTACAAGGAGCCTGCAACTAACCAGGGAATACACAATACCATAAGTGGCCTGGAGGACATTCCTATCTGAGGAAGCAGATTAACAAAATTTATGAGTGAAATGTCTTTTTTTTTTTTTTTTTAAAAAAGGCTTTGAAAAGAAAAGATGGCAGCCTGGCTCACGGAGATAGCAAGACAGATCCCATGTGAAGAGCAGCAGGAGACGTGCGACAGACACGAATGCAGGACGTGGACTGACAATGGGCTGAATTGTCTGCAGCTCAAGGGAGGCCAACAGCAAGAACGGAGAGCAAAGGCGATGGCAGAGGCTTAAATGTTAGAAAGGAAAGCTTTTGCATGAAGAGGAAAAGAAAGGAAAGGATTCAAAGAGGGAAAATAATGGCCAGAACAGCCAACTTGCATGTTGATTTTATGCTATCAACAAATTAAGACTAGCAGGTTGCCATTCTGCATCAGTCCTTTTAACCTCACACTCTGCTTTCAACTCCAGCCAATACCTGATGCTGCAGAGAAGTTAATTCTTCCCTACATAACAGGGCTAGTCAAAGGTACTCTGTTTTATGTAGTGAAAATATATTAGTCCTTTGTGTGCTGAAGCAAAAGGAGATTTAATTACCCTTAAATTTATAGACCCGCAAGTATTATATCCCAACATCAATTATCATCCTTTTCCGAAAGGATAAAATTACCTGATTTTCAACAAGTGTTGCTACCCCATTAGTGGAAATGAACATCAGTATTTCGAGTTTAAATGTATTTTTCAGACTTAAGTGGAAAGAGTATTTCTTTATGGCTGGCAAACCCACTCCCTTCATCACCTGCAAGTGGTTTTTAACAGCTCTAGAAAAAAATCTCTCCACTTTCTCTGAAAAACGGACAAGGAATACATTTTAGAAAATCTTATTTCAACTAAACTTTTGAACACCCATGGAAGAAAGATAGCATAATTTTGACATACCATTAAGCACAGCACTATCGTTGCTGTCTGTCAACTCAATGGTTTTGAAAGTTGCTAAGGTCTTCAGTGGATGGCTGGACAGAACTGAAAGAAAGGTTGAAAGTTTAAGAATAAAAATGGCACATGTTCACTCAGCAATATGGTTCATTGCTAAACAGAAAGCTTTAGGCATTCTCTAAGCCTTATAAATATATGGATTTTCTCTGTCTGTTTGTTTTTTTTTCTTAAAATGCATGTCAAGAAAAGCCCAAGACTAATTATAAGAGAAAAACTCTACCTTCTGCATCAACCATCAAACTCGCTGTGTTTGGATTTGCTTCCAAGTCTGTGTGGTCAGAGGCTGCCAGAAAGAAATTAAAAAGAAAAGAATTTAAATTTAGCATTTCCATTCAGGATAGTCTGTCATTCCAAATATTCTCAGAAAAGTAATCTAACCGCAGGGTGCTATATTCACACTTCTGAATTGTGCCATCTGGCTTTCGCTGCACCTGAGGGAGTTCAGAATGCCAATCATGAAAAATGCAACTCAGCAGAGGCAACTCAACATTTTATCAACTGGCAGGCAAGAATTAACTTTTTTCCCTCATATGTCCAACCAAATGATCATCTCGGGGAGGAAACTATTCAGAGCAGAAACCCCTCCAAATACAAGACTTAAGGAGTAACAAGACTCTTTTATTACTTCCCTTTATGACAAACTACACAGGGGCATCGTGGCATGATTTTTAAGTTCCTGATAATCAGCTCCACAACCTCCCATTAACTATTCCCCCTCACTGCCCCTCAGTTCAAGAATATCTTAAAATACCTAATTTACCCACAATACTTACATTTCTGTAGCAAGTCTTTTATACTCTCCAAGGTAGTAGAAGATGTCATTTCCAGACAGTGTGCAAAACTGCTTAAAGCTTTGCTACGAACTGCGGGCGCTTTGTCGCAACACCGACCAAATACCATGACCTGAACTAAAAACTTATGCTTTAGAAACCTCTGCTGCTCCAGGGACAAGGAGCTATCCGAGTTCCTCTCCGGCACATCCAACAAAGCCAAAGCTACATCAAGGGCAAACACTCTGTAGGAAGTCTGTTCAGAAGAAAAAATACACAAGAGGCTGCGTTAAGTCACACGAAGTGCCTGCTCAGTTTGCCTGCCTTGAGCTTTGGACAACAACAACAATGATGTCCAATACTGATGCTGAACTCTTCATCTCCAAAATGCTGCTGTGTTAGAATTCTGGAACATTAAGGAGATGTACTTACTTTGGCATTGTGTGAGTATTTATAAAGCCAAGCAATGAAGTCAGCAAACTCTATACAAGGGAGTTTATTCAGCAAATTCACCAAGGCCTGTGCAGCATGTGTGCGATACTCAGCCTTATCTGGGACCTGAAAAACAAGTGCAAACAACCTTGCAAATCATAATATTCCAATCCTCTGCTCTAATAGCCAAAAAGGCATTTGAGGGCTCAAGATGAATATTTGTTTACTTAATGAGGTTACATGGTCACATTCACCAAGCCCTGGGAGGAGAAACACAGCTCCTCAGCCACAGCCTCAGCCAGGGAGGCACAGCAAGCTCCCAGGGCAAAGCTAGAGGTTAGATCAAATCCTGAGGCAACCAGAGGTTTCCACATGGGCAAAAAATTCATACAATCTTCATTTTCCTCTACTAAAACAGCGTTAATAGCTCAAATTTTTGGAAAGTTCAGAAGTGGGCTGAACTTAAAACTTAGCATACCTTGGTACAAATGTGTTGCAGTAATATTCGAAGCACAGGAAAAGCCACTTCTTTCAGCTCTTCTACTACAGAACTGCACAGAAAAAGAAGAAAGGCACATTTGTAAGGTTGGTTTTGTACCAGAGCAAAGCTCAAGCCAAGGACAGTGTTTTTGAAGACACACACTGAAAATCACATTGCAGAGTCACAAGTGCTAGTGCAATAGGACATGGTCAGAGGACAGATGTGCTTCCTTTCTACATTAATCTGCCTTTGCAAGCATAAAATATATTTCCAGTGTCTTTCTACAAGTGGAAAGACAGTATGAAAAGCTGTTTTATTTTCACTTTACTTATTAAATGTCATCTGTGGATCTCTGCACAAACTACACTTCAACAACGTGGTTCTCCACATAGGGTGACAAAGGAACATAGGCAAAAAGCATCATTAATCAAGAGAAGGTAAAGAATTAAGGAGAAACAAGGTCCACATTCACACAGCATCTCCTGCACAATGCAATGCAGTAGTTATAAAACCTGAAAAAATGACAGAAAGCCAAGTACTGGAGAAGGCACGTCCTCCCCTCCACTCACTGCCACTTTTCTGTCAAGCATCATCTTCTTCCCTCCCTCCCAGGCAGTACTGTAATTACCCTTACAAAAATTGAAATTAAACCTCCACTGCACAAACAACTTCAAAACAAGCTCCGGTTACTCTCATCCCTTTATCAACTAACAGGAAGGAGAAGGCATGCCAGAAGGAAGAGCAGACATACCCAAGAAGGGTAGTGCCAGAACTCTGTACTTCACCTGATGAATTTTATAGCTTGATTCCTAGCACTCATCACTGAGGATGTGATTGTAAGGACAGCACGTCGGGAACCTCCACCACCTTCCAACATAAGAACGACATTGAGGAGTCGCTGGAAGACACGACGAAGGATCTGGAAGGGAAAGGTATCTTCAGGTTTACTTTCAGTAGCAATTGCAACTGATGGATAAACATCCTGACCCCTTTTATGAAATAAACCTGAGCCAAAGAAGAAAAAATCTTAGATATGAATTATCTCGTCTGGCAAAATAGGACTCCAAACAGTACAATTCAAAAGGGAACCATTTATACACCTTTCCTTGAGGTGCTGCTCTCCTACAAACCCAGCGAGGCTTACGAGTGACTTCCTGACAACAAATCACCTCCAAGGCAGCGGACTGCTCCCCTTAGCATCCTTCTGGAACCACAGTATGGCTCATTATCCTGATATTCTCCGAGCGGTCAAACAGGAGAGACAGGAAAGATTACACAGGTCTGAAGAGGGGAGTCACTAAAGCTTCTAGGTACTATAAATGTTAATGCTTCTGAAGACTTTATGCTGCACTGTGAGATAAAGCCATTTGAATCATGGAGGTCTGAGTCTGCAATCCTTCCTGGAAAGCAGGACAAATCCTCAGGCATTTATCAGGTTTGTGAGTACTGAGCTCCAGCCTTCCCTGGCCAGACAGCTGCCAGTACCCTGGCTTGCTAACTCAAAATTAGTTAATATATGTTTATAATATGTGATATACAGATTGGCTATCAGAGTAGCACAGTCACACCCTAAAGTTCAAAGCCTCCCATAGGAGCAGCGCACAGATAGGTGCGAGATGAATTGACAAAATAAAAACATGAAGCTACAGAGATTTCTGGTAGAACTGGCTGCTCCATCGCAGCAGAGCGTTCCGTGAAGGAGCATCAGCCTTGCTTCCCAGCATCCAGGAGGCACTTCCCGGCTCTCACCACGCGTCCCTGGCAGTGCTGCAGCTCCACCTAGCCACAAGCAAGGATAGGCCAGGCAAAGGCAGCAGCCTGGAGCTCTCCCTGCTGAGCTGCAGGGATGTCATGTCACTGTAGCCATCCTCTGGTTTGAATTCACTTGTCTGGAGAGTCACTAAAGCACAAGCATGGTGTGATGTGCACCATCATACAAGTCAAAACAAGTGTCAGGTAAAAAAGGCACATTACCTCTGAAGTGACAAACACACAAAAAAAGTGAGTGCAGAAGCAATGTAAAAAGTACAAAATGTTCGAGTGAAAACAAACAAAGGAAGAAATAAAAGACTACTACACTACAGCAGTGAGGATTTTAAGGACTTTAGGCCAACTTTTACCTTATCTTCTGTACTATGCAGAGGGGAACACAGTAATCGCAGTCCGTAATAGGCCAGCTCCGGGATGTACTTTGCTTGATTAACACTCCTAAACAAAAGGAGACAAAGAGATGTCTTCACCTCTCATCAGAGAAATATTTGCTACAGCTTTTACAGTTAAACACTCTCATTAACTGGAAAACATTGTTCAATAATTGCTAAAAGCTGTTTTCTGTCAGCTAGTTAGAAAAACTTCCAGTTATCTTTGGTAAAAGAAATCACTGCTCTCGTTTTGATATAAACAGCCTAATAGCAATACGAGTGTTGAGTGCTTTACCGCTTCAAAGCAAAAAGCATAGGCATTAAGAATTAATAGCTCACATAGTTGCTGAACACTCGAACTCGCGTGCCACTGGCTCAAAGCTTGTCATCTCCACAAAGATCTGCAAGGAAAGAGAGCCACGTTTAGCTAATTCACACAAGAGGAAGGTTGCCTCCCTTTGGAGCTCAGCTCTTTGAGCCATAACGGTCACACTGCCATCTGCTTCTGACCCCAACCCCTCAGGCCGTTCCTAGCATTAGGTGTTGGCAATTGTTTTCCAAAGGAACGGAACAGGACTCACTCTTTCTAAAGCAACAGCAGTCCCAGACTCACTACGAAATAAGCTCCAGGTTAGAATGCTTGCTCAGGCCACGGATTAACTCTTGACTATAAAAGCAGGCAGGCAACCCATGCCAAAATTTATACTGAGCACAGTCTGACCTGGGGCTGTTTTACACAGGCAGGATTGTGGTCACTTCTGCAGCATGGCTGCAGCATTCTGTGTCGGCCAAGAATTTGTGTTTGGGGGTGTACGATTCCTCGAGTCCATTATGTTGTTACCTGGAGGCAGTTCTGCACACACTGAGGCTTTTCTTTCAGGGAGAACTTTGGTAGAAGTCTCAAAAAGTTTTTCAGAAGAAGGAAGACTGATTCACGAATTTGAAGACAATCTTGACTTGAAAAGTAAACCTCTGCATCTTCCTCCTCCTCTTCTTCGTCCTCTCCAAAGATCCCTTCCATCTATATTGGTATAAAACAAACAGAATAACCCCGTCCCACAGCAGTGACTGAAGCATTGTGCGCATCTCTCTCAGTGTTTAACAAAGCTATCGGATCCTATAGGACTTCTCATACAAAATTCTAAATATTTTCCTTTTAGATTACTTAAATCCATTTAATAGACAGAAAGTGGATTTTTAAAAAGGAAGAGAGTTGGGTATAATATAAAAGAGCTCCAACATAACTTATTCTTCTTTTGAATGCTTCAAAGGAGAAAATCCATCTGAACCGAAGACACAGCATCAGCAAGTTAGCAAGGAAGCTAAAATAACATTTGTAAGCCTGTCACTTAGTAACCTGCAGGTCTCTCAAAGAAGCAGAGACAAATGGGTTCCCCTCTCTGCTTGTCAGTCCCTTGTGAATAATTTGCTCATTAACAGAGATTTTTATCTGAAGAAACTACACAAATATCTTACATTGGAGTTCTCCTTTCTGCTTGGCTTCCCTTTCTTTCTGTTTCTTCTTGCATTGGCTTGAGAGCTTTGAGCATCAGCCTTTTTCCTTTTCCTCAGATTTGGTTCTTGAGGCCAGCTTTTTACCAGCGTTTGAAGACATTTATCAAACATCACTTGGTGGAACATCTGGTTAGCTACACTACCTGCCCAGAAAAGAAAACATCAGTCGTCTCTCAGGCAAAATAGAGAGCATGAAGACATCCGGGCACGTCTTCTATCTGTTTCTTACAGTTACTGCAAGGGCCAGGACAGAGCCATTTTGCTCACCTGGGATTTCAAGCAGTAGGAAGTACAAGCTGGCAGCCTGCAGAGCACAAACGCGCTGCTGGGCACTAGCTCTTTTATCCTGGCCCGCGTGGACGAAGTGGTGCAACACAGCCACGAGGGCGTTCGGAGAGAGGCTGTTTTCAGCAAACACGGTCCAGATGCTCTGAGGCAAAAGACAGGAGTAATGCTGCCTTAGATACTCATACTAACTTGTTAAAAACTCAACACAGGATAAACATGAATAATGCAAAAGCACTCGAATCTTTCCTAAGCAGAACGTATTCCAGTACCTGGCCTTACCTTTCTATTCTCATGGTCCTCCGCAGTGAAAGGTGACAGAGACTGGTACAGCCACGTGAAAGCATCGGAGCCCTCTTCCGTGATGCCCTCTTCAATCCTGGAATCCAGAGGCTCAGTCTCTGTGAAATCCAGATCCCAGACTGTGCTCACCCAGACTAAGAGGAAGAAAACCAAACGCGTTATAAGCGTCGGAGGCCAAGTCTCCTAAACAGATAGTTTCAACGGGAAAAACGCTTCGAAGCGAACATGGAAGGCGAGAGCGGGGGCAGCCACGCCACAGGGGAGGGCTGGCAGC